CAGGTATAAACAGGTATTAGAAGTACTATGAACATTAAGTGAACCACTGCATTGTGAGTAAAGTGGTAAATGGTGCCCAAAGCTCTAGAGCCTGAACCAGGTGGTGCAGAATCGGATGAAGTTGTCAGTGAGTCCGGTTGTGGAGGACAGGAGGAATTTGTCTGTGAGCCTTGTGGTACAGGACTGATTGAAGTTGTCCCCGAGCTGTCCCCGAGCCTTGTGGTGCAGGACCTGATGAAGCTGTCCCCGAGCCTTGTGGTGCAGGACTGGTTGATGTTGTCCCTGAGCCTGAAACAAACATATTCCCTAGTCTAGTTCAGATAAAAACACAAAATCAGTCAGCATGTTAGCATGTCATTCAATACCTGTTTCATTAGCTGTTTGTATCCAGTACCTAACGGTATCTTCAATGTGTGTGTGTGGAGAGGCTAAAGCCTGCACTTGTTGAAACACGAAAGCAGTGGATGTTACTGTTCGTATGAAATTTTAATTAGGAGTTATTAAGAATCATGAGCGCTGCTGCTAAAATTGAGCACATTAGATTTGATGAAATATAAGAAAGAATATGGTGAGCCTCATCTGTTAAAGCGTGATTATGTATTTTTCCCGACAGTGTCCCCCTCGCCTCAAGTCTTTGGGCTAAGCTATGCTAAACTTGTCCTCGACCTACAAATCACAGTACTGCACACACAGAGAGGAAATTGATATTGATCTGAAAAATCCAAAATGTCAAAGAGCTTGTTACAATAGATTTCTCAACCTTCATCTTCTATTTTGATGAAATGTCCCTTTCCCTCTATTTCCACCTCTGCCTGAATGCCGTACAACTACATCCATTACACCCTCCCACTCCCTCCTACCGCTACACCCCCCACCCACCCAAGCAAGCCTCGGCGGGAGTCACGTTCCCGGCTGATGGGAGCTTTAAAGAACCCATCTCAGTCTTATTAGTGAGCCACTTTCTGCAATCCAAGACCAACAGGGATTTCAGACTTCTCCCCTCCCTTCCTCCTGTACTCCAGCACTCCCAATGAGTTCCCCATGGACTGTGCTTTTGTCAGGGATAGACCAGACATCTGACATGCCAGTACTTTGTCGCAATTCATAGGGGAACGTTGAAGTGCACACGTCTCCAAATGGAGGTTTAGATTACATATCTGTCACGTCCGAGGGGCAGATCAGAGACTTAAGTGCAGACACAGACACTGGAGACGAGGTGGAAGGCAAAGTTCTTTACTTGGGAGCGAGCAAAAAAATGGAAAAAAGCAAAGTCCCAAACCATGGAACGTAGAGAGACAACACGAGGGATAAACACTGGAGACACGGGGAGGAACAAGGCCGGAACATGAAGCACACAGGGGGAAGAACAAAGATGATCTGACAACCAGAACAGGGAAAGCAGGGGAGTATATGTGTGTGGGGTGATGAGTAGATTGCAGGCAGGTGAGTTGAATGAGTGCAGTGTGGGGTTGGCAGAGGAAAAAGCCAGGGGCAGGTGATTGAGCACAGGTGAAGTGAATGAAAGCAATCAGGAGACACTCAGACACTCAAGCTGTGTCTCAATTCAGGGTCTGCATCCTTCGGAGGCTGCATTCGTAGACCGGTTGTGTCACAGCGCTGCGACTAGTGCTGTCCCATTTCGCATTTTTGTTGAAGAGTCCTTCAATGCAGCCGACGAATGCAGCCTTCTGGTCCCAGATTTGGAGGACACATCTGATGTATCCTTCGCGGCCCACCATATCCCAAGATGCATTGCGTGCCGGTGCGCTATTACCGACCGGTCCCAGACTCTTCACACAGCTTCAGCTTATCGATTCAACGCTGGTACGGGATCGGTACTTGGTATTGACTGATACCTTAAAAGCCAAGGTATAGGTATCGGTATCATGACTTAGAGAGTTGGATCGGTGTATCCCTAGTCCTAAATGAATCCTGTTGGTGTTTGTGAGTAAATGATTTATTGTTTCTGTGACTGAGTAAGTTAATTAAACAAGTGTCGGCCAACAATAAAAATCCAGATTTAAATAAATCATTTTGACTATGGAACATCAAAATCAATCCTCATCTTCGTCTGAAGCATTGATCAATCATGAGCCGCTGTTACAACAACTGCGTTCCTCCTGACCAACATCTGATCAACAGCCACACCTCCCATCTTGACCTTCCACGAATCACAACAAGCAGTGAGAAACAGCTCAGAAACTGTAAGAGCCCCTTTGCACCTTTTCCTTTTTAAGGGGAGACGCTAAAGAAATGTGGCATCAAACTTAATCTCACAAAGCTTTAGGAGGATCCTAAACATTATACATATTAGTGTTCTCAATTTTAGTTGGTCCTGTTTGCAGCAATTGAGCCTCTATCAATCAATTACACCTCTGGTTACATTCTCTCTAAGTTCAAATAAACAGATGAAACCCGGTACACCTACATTTCTTTCAAGACTTTTATTTTATTTTGGTCCGATTGTGTGACTGGATGGGTGGAATGGCACCAGACAGAATCCCTTTCTGACACTTTCAGCAGGACCACTTTAAACCCTCACCTCTCCCAGACTTCAGTCACGGTCTTGCTGCTCCTGGCTTGCTCTTAACTGGACTTAGACTATGTCCTCGGCCACCGGTCGACTGATTCATGCAGCTTCCTCAGGTCTGCACCAACTGGCACAAATATCTAGCACTGTTAGCACAAGCTGTTCAGATCTTTCTAGTTAGTCAATTAGATGAATACAGAGTTGGGTAGTGGTGTTTACTCTTCTTCTAGCAAGGTGGTTGAGGATCTAACATCAATTTTTATCATTCACTGAATCACATGACATCATTTTCTCTCTCCCAATTTGCCCAAAAATTGCTCTGTGGGGCTCTATGTGGCTGTTGGTCAGAGGCAATGCAGCCAATGTAACACAGCCCATAATAAATAAAAAATAACTCTTCAGGAGAAAATGAGAATTGATTTTGATGTTGAGCAGTTTAAATGATGTATTATGATCCTTACTTTTACAGTTTGGCAGAGACATCTTTGATTTCCCTTTTCAAGAACGCAACATAGAAATGTGAAACAATCTATCATGTAGCCACAAACAAGAAGAAGAAGCTAGGACTCCATTTATAGCCATCAAACATTCTCATACAGTCTCAAACAGACAAGATGGTGAAACCAACAGCAAAGGAAATAGCAACACAAATATTGATGACCTTAAGTAAAACTTTGACATTCAGTGTCGGATTTATTAGTTTACACTACCCTATGAATTAGATTGGTTGAAGGATCTACAGTGTGATCTATCAAAGTCTGAAGTTCCCTCTAGACACGTTTTAAATTGGACATATCCTCCTCATTCATACTTGTATTTTGGGTTTCTACTAGAACATGTTTACATGCTTCAATGTTCAAAAACACACTCTCTGTCTGAATATTCCTGTATCCACCCTCTGTTTGAAATGCTCCGTTTCCTTAAGCCCGCCTTCTGGAAAAGCCCAGTCTGCTCTGATTGGCTTGTTTTACATATTTTGTCTGCATCTGTTTCCTGAACATTTCTCTGTACACTATTCTCCCTAAGTTTTACTTTTTGTTATTAAGAATAATTTGAACTCCACAAGCACCATATTGCATGAACTCCATAAGAAAAATGACTGTGGCTTTCTCCATAAACAGCAATAGTCCAGTTCCCTATGGCTCTCTCCTTTAATGGGAATAATTATTACACTGGCAGTATAATAAGGGGCATCATCATTGCCACAAAACACACACAGACAATCAAAGGAAGTTGATGTGGGATATTCACCCATGCAAAATTTGAAGCAAAATGTAATTGCTTGAGAGTTAGCAGGAGGCAGGTGCATACTGAACGCTGTAAACGGTGTCCTGTTCCTCCATAAACATGCTCAACATGAGAGGCAGGCTGACCTTTTCATAGAAACAGGGCTGAAGCAGACACGAGGCTGCCAGCACAGAGCCAAGGTTACAGGAAAGAGAGAAACAGGACACAATTGAACTGTCAGGGTAAATTAAATCACTGTTTTACATTCTCACAATGTAGAGCCAACCTCATTACCATAATATACTGTACCTTGAACCTGACCTTCAAAGCCCTGTGGATGGTTAAATGTGCACAGTATTATGCCCTTGACTCAAAGCACAATTGCAGATTTTCATCTTTGGACCATTTAGCCTATTATATGAGACAGAAGTTGATGAAAAAGGCCTTTGGGCTGACAGACGTTCCCCATGGATAAGTGCTCAATGCAATTCCATCAGGATTTTAGTGTGACCCAATTACATGTCCAAAATAATGTGAGACTAGCTTCCAGTTTCATTTATGTTCAATTATAAAGCACAGAAAAGGTACTTTTACAATCCAGTCATCTTTATTGAACTGCAACCCAGTCTTTTTTTAAATGAGAAGCATTTAAATGATCCAAATACTGACAGTCAGTGCAGGACAGTTGATTGTCAAACTCTGGTTCCCAGTCAAAAATCGTGAGTTGCGAAAAAAATATCATGATCACCAGAGAGAAAAGACTCTCTGGTGATGTGAGGAACAGAGATGGTTTGAAGGCTGGGATTGTTTGCTGTCTTGGGGCAGTTGCTTGGAGTTTTTGTCCGACATTTTAACTGAAATTGTGTGTAAAGAGTGAAAATTGTGGGTATGGGAGCCAGTTTAAGATATTTCTTTCAGATATTGTAAAGCTCCTCTGCACTCTAGCTGTGATGTGATCCACTCCAGCTCTGAGCCTTTCTTCCATACCAATCCCTCAGACACTGGCTCATTGAGTCATTCTTTAGCGATGCACCAGGCTTGAAAGTATACATAAACCTGAAGCTAGAGTGGTACGTAGAGCATCATAGTGTGAAGTAATTTGACCCTTTGAGGTGAGAATGTGTGGCCCATACACATGATTATGTGTGAAACTAATGTGATAGTTGGTATGTGTTCAAGAGAGTTTGTGTTCATGTGTGAACCCTGTGGATAAAAGCAGTAGTGTTTCCGAGCACCTGAGTTCCTTTAGAAAACCTCTTGTTTTACTGCACCAGGGTCTGACAGTCTGCCTCGCTCAGTCCTGGTTCTGGTTCTCCCTTGCCTCTCTTCCCTACAGCGGGCCCAGCAGTACGGCCTGGGTTTCCAGCAGCGTGGGGTCTAAACTTTTAAGCATTTTTATATGTTAAAAGATGGTATGGCCCTGAAGAGGTGAGGTTTTGAGCTCTGTTCACGCCGATTTCCGATGATTGGATCTGTATTGCTGTTTTGGGAATTTTGGTGAAAATGGCTTGGCAAATCTCTGAGGAAAGTCATAGCACATTCCCAATCATTTTGCTCGTTTTTGTTTTGTTGGCAACGCTGCAAAAGTAGTAGTGCAGCAAAAAATCTGACGTCAGAAGGAGATGAAGAAGAAGAAGCCTGTGGCATTATAGTCAGTGTTCTTTCAGCCTTGTTCCTAGCATGCACACTGAATAATAACATAGAAACATAAAATAATGATATAGGCAGACTGGTAACAAGTAGTGTATAAGAGTCATGATCAAACTGGTTTAAACGTATTCCGTTGTCTGGCAACTGATACACAGAGAACAACTAAATGGTGAATTCAGCTGCATTAAAACACAGTGATGGCAATTACACAACGCAGGAAGAGACTGAATGGAGGTTTTACCAGCTGAGATGCAGCAGACTGAGCTCTCAGTGTCACTCCTTCCCCGATGTTGGCTGTGATGCTTCTTTGCCAAACTCAAAAGAGGACGAAGAGAAAGACATATAATTGCAGCAAAACTGTCTCCTTCCCTCTCTCATGCTTTCTGCTTCTCTCTCTGTCTTTCTCACTACTTATTTACGGACACAGTAAAACTCAGTAACAACTGAAATGCACAATCAAATTTTCATTCTAAGTCAATTTCTAATAAATGTAGGCATTGATATTCATTGACAGTGAATTCCAGGCTTTAGAAAGGCGTGCTGCTCCAGTAGATCATAAAGTAGTCTGTATGTCATGCCGTCGTATCCAGTGGACATTAGGAAATGACTTCTCATTCCTCTATTTATGGTGCTTCACCTCATTGTTATACAGTATATTAAACACAACATTAAGTTCATTAAGTTCAACATTATGTTCAAGCACATCAGTATTTTACTGACTTCCACAGTGACCCCCGCCATCATTTTCACTGGTTTTCCAGGAAAACCAGGAAAACTGTAAATCCCAGGGAATGGAATAAGTTCAGCTATCTAACCCTGCTGCCTTAAGAGAAGCATAATGGGCCATTTTCCAATCCCAAAAATGTTGATTTGTCCGAGGAATTTAAGGTGAGGAGACTTGAGGGCTGCTGTGGAGTTCAGCATTGTGCTAAATGGCTCTTCTGTGGTTTACTTTAAGCAAAGGCACTTCATGACATGCACTTGACAATCATTTCATGATACATAAGTCAGAGACAGATCCAATGAACAGCAACAAGAACACCTCCACTTGTTCTAAACTAATGGCTGAAAAAGGCAAAGCAGACAAGGCCCATTTATCAATAGAGGCAACGGTGTGTAATAGTACATTCTGTGAAATATTATACAGCATGCCTGTTTTGCAGTTTTGTCTTTGGGTGCACGTATATGTGTGCATCTTGTTCAGCAACAAGAGAAGGACATGCTGTCACAGTAACACATAATCAAGCATGACTGCAATTGTAAAGGCTAAATGGCGGCAGACTGTCTGAGTGTTAATGCTAAATACGTATACTCAGACACTGACTATCAATTACACACAAGTCAATCAAGTCCTGTAGGAAAGTCATAATTCTTTAGAAAACATCCAAAACCCATGAAACCCATGGCTTTTATTGATGATCTTGTTTGATTTAAAGGGACACTCCAGTGATGTGGTATTGCACTTCCATAAACAGCAGCATGGCTCCAAGCTCAAGAAAATGTCCTTCCTGGTAAACACCCATTGTTTCATTATTTGTTCTATTATAGAGCTGTAGTTTCTAAGCCCAACTTGACATAAACCTAATGACAAGTCAGGGTTATTTCCTCCCATGAGGCAAATTTGTGATTTGCAATATTAGGTTACATGAAATTGACTTTACATATCACCTTCAGAGCCACAGAGCTTTATGTTCTGTTCCAAATGTTCCGCCTATAGTCTACGTTTGCCATTTGTGTGTTTGTTTTTTACTAGAACCTGGGCTGTACGGTCTGTGTACGACTCCCAGTAAACTACGTGCTGGGAGAAGAGCATATACGGCAGCTCTGGGAGACGCACCTTCAGCTGTAGCAACTGAAAAAGAGCACAAAGCCCAGCGCCGCAGTGGGACTGCCACAACTCCTCACCGGATCAGCAAACCTTCTGTTGCTCCATTAGACCCACCGCCAGCCCACTGTAACTTGTGTTTTACACACTGTCCTGTCTTTTTTCTTAGAATATGGTTAGTAAACCCAAGGAACAAAATTTACTTTTTCAGAAAAAACAACAACAATCAAACTCATACTCAATCAGAGATTGCATTGAGTGATAGAGGTCAGTGGAACAGCAGCTAGCTCAGATGTGAAATACGACTTGCTCTTGACTAGCAAACTGATTTTGACATGCAGAATCAATGGAGTGCCCCTTTAAACTTGTCTTATAGAAATCATCAAGTCCTGGTAGACAACCAAAGCTAAGGTTAGTAATGTTGAGAAACAACCAAGAGTACGCTACATTTAAAAAGGGATCAGACCGAAAACTGAAAAACCCAGCAGCAATAGCCCCAAAAGTTGCTAATTCTAGCGACACTGACAGCCCGTCACTCTAGGCCACCATCCAAAGCCCCATCCATCCCCCCCAAAAAGCGATCATTCATTGGGGCTGAATGAACTTATTGGCTGGGCTTTCTTTGTAAGAGCATCTGATTTATTGGTTGCTATCGGGATGTAATGAGAATTTCAACAAATATAACCATTTTCCTTTCTACAGAAGATTGCCAACCTTAGCTTTAATCAATGACAACATTGAATTGAAGTGATTGGGATTGTTGCTTCAGTTGCTTGTAAATAGGCCCTTTTCCCAGCAGCCATTTTCTCATGTCATAGCAGGGTAAACACCGGTGTAATTGGCGAAAATAATTATGGTCCTATTTTATTTAGAGTGTCACTGTCATTCTAGTGAGCCAATATTTACACACCAAATAAAGTGGACCAGGGCCTTATTTGATGTTATTAATTACTGTCTTTACCCTGCAATGATGTGTCGAAGTGGCTGCATTGGAAAGGGCCCCAGTGGCTTCATGATAACACTGGAGCATACACTGTGTGGGGCAAAACACAGTCTCCAATTCTACAAACTGTAACCTAGTCAACCTGAATATAGCATTATGCTCATTTCTTACACAGTATAATGTGTACAGTCGGCTATGTTGTGGATCTCGTCAAAGCTTGTGTGTATTCCCTTATAGGATGATTCTGGTTTGTCACAACTTGAGTCTTATTTTCGTAGTTGTGGTTAGAATCGATTAGATTTGGTCACGACATGATAGGAACCACAAGCAGTCAGTTTAACCACATTATTGAAACCACCAAGGTCAGTACCATAATGTCAATGGAACCAGGGAGTCAATCTAAACTGCGATGGATGTGTACTCATCACACTATTATTCTTTATGATGATTTGCTGTGTTGCGAGCTCAGCGATGAACTTCATGAGTATGCTAATATTACTGAGCAGAATGATGATCAAAACATAATGAACCAAGTTGTAATGATCATGAACATGATTGTTGTCTCCATATGGACCTCTAATATCTTTTGTTCTATTTTCCAACCCTGTGCAATCTGTCAAAACCTGCTAATACTGGAACTGGACGTTTTGTGACTTTTCTTCTTCATGTTGATCTTCTGCTAATTTTTCATTCCAGTCTATAAAGGGAAAGTGCATTCAGTAAAGGATGACGTCCACTTGGCATTACTGATTGTGTTTGTTAGTCCGACAGGAATGTAAGGCAGCTCCTGAAGACAGGTAGATACAAACAGCCAAGTATATGTGCTTTCCTCTGTAGTTGTATCAGTGTTACTCCATCACTGGGAGCTTTACCCACTTTCTCTCTCCTCATAATCTATGTTGATGTGTGATATGTGGATAAAGCAACCTTTACATTTTGTCTTCCCAATGTACATCTTACTTGATGTGCAGGTTTCATGTTCATGACTGGTTTGTATGTATTTCTCCACTCAGCACAAACATGTTCTGTATCGTACAAAAGAGTGTTTTTCTACAATAACCACAGTACAATGCTCTGTAAAGGGTTAATGGACTTGAACTTGCTTTACTATCTACTCTTCCGACCCACTAATGTCCTTGCCCGCGGTGTAACACGACCATAGCAGAACCATTTTAGATTGTGTATTCAAACAAAAGAAGTTCTGTACCATTAGAAGACATGTACTTCTACGGTCTCCATCATAGTTTTAGAATAACTGTAATGCTCTAAAGACTATTAAAAGGAAATATTTTACATGTGTTTTCCCTGTTTGTTTGTTTGCTTGCTTGTCTTAATTTTGGAAATGAAATGTGGAGTCATTAGGCTTCATACAGGAGCCCTTCCTGACTACACAACCCTTGAAGAAACCTCCTTTGTCTTGTATGGTTGCCTGGAAGAGCACATAGATCCACGTTATGTAAATGTATGCTTGAGATTGTCAGTCGTCCAGGTGCTGCTCCTCCCAGGTAGAGGTGGGGATCGCGCTGTAGGGGTCCATGATGACCTTGGCACAGCGAATGATCATGGCCACCAGCAACAGACAGAGGAAGGCGATGCAGGCCAGAGTCAGGCCCTGGTCCACGTCCACGAAGGCTGGTTCTGCAGTACCCTCCACCTCCATGACTGCTGGTGTCTGCTGCTGCTGTCCTCAGACACACCTACACACCCTGTTTCCATCCTGAAGACCCGACTGGAGATGCACAGGGAGAGGGAGAAGATGGGTAGGGTGAGTCATATAGAGCACAGGGGGATGTGAGGGGACAGGAACTAAAGCCATGACATCATCACAGAAGCCATCATAAAACGTCCAATGTGCCTGAGGCCACATTCACATCATGTGTTTTTCTGTGAATCTGATCATTTTCCACAAATGTGACTGAGGGTTTCCAATCAAAGTTAGAGGAGTGGAGCAGCAGCTCCTAGTTAGGCAGCTTGTACTGGTATAACAAATGCAGTGAGAAGCCACAGCTTGAGGAGCCTCAATTACATTTTAGACTTTGTTAAGTTAAAGCAACTCTGAACATTAGAGACTTTGGAAAGAACCTGTTAAAACCCAAAGCATGTACTGTTATTTTCTATATTAATGGAGTATATTAGTGGTTGGCTGAAACACACAGAGGTGTACATTTTTTTAGCCTCTCGGCTCTCGGCCACTTGGGATACACCATCACACACATTCATTAAATACAAAAGAGTGTCACAATTATTTGTATAGACAGGAAGCTTTTCGAAGTCGAAAAGGATCAGATCTGTGATATTAAAGTTAAAAATCTGTATTTAAAATATGAAGTCATTCATGTTTGCATTTGCAGAACTGCTTTACATGTGTTCAAAGTGCTTAGTATTTGTGTGTATACTGGAATAACCAAAACGATGCACAAATGCTTCACATTTGTGCATCGTTTTAGTTTGTAGATCACATTATTTCTGGTAGATCATGTGATACACATTTGTGACAATTTTGAGAGTAATTTCAATCCAGGTAAGGTAAACTAGTCCGTGGCTGCAAGAGTCTGGTCTTGAAACAACATGCAAGAAAATGTTACAAGTTCCCCTCAGCAAAATCTTTGCAACTTCTATACCTGCCCATCAGGTAACTTCTTCATACCCATCAAACTGCTGAAGAAGAGTTTCTTGACATTTAAGCCAGTTGATGTTTGACCCTTGCCAAAAGCCGGATCAAGAAAAATCCCTGTAACAAGAAAGAAGATGAAAGAAACAGCAATACTTACTGATACACCTGTCAAGATGGCCCTGAAAGAAGAGCAGAGAAGAAAGTCTCACAAGGTGAAACATGCCAAAGAAAGGTCTGGACACCAAACAACAAATCAACTCGCACAAACCAACAACTACCTACTAGGAATGTGCAGAGAGTGCAGTATTTGCATTTGTATCTGTATTTGTTTTAAAGGAACAGTGTGTAACATTTTCGGGGATTAATTGGTAGAAATGGAATATTTATGCATAACTATGTTGTCATTAGTGTATAATGACCTGAAACTAAGAATTATTGTGTTTTATTTGGCTTAGAAAAAGCCATTTCTATCTTGGTAGGGAGCGGGTCGCCTAGTCATGAGAAAGAACAGAGTATTGATAAGAGTAGCTCCATGTAGTAATACAATCCTAAAGATACCTCTCCTGCAGGCCTCCGTATCTCCAACACACTTGGAAAGGGAGGGGTGAGCAGAGGGTCATGATGTTGCTTGCTATCTGCAACTCACCACTAGGTTCCACTAAATCTCACACACTGATCCTTTAAAGCAGGGGTTCTTAACCTTTTTGACCTCGGGGCCCAACTTTTCAAGTACAAAGTGTCCCGGGGCCCATTCAAATATTAACACTATTAGTTTAACTAATTGATCTCACTCTTGGTTTGATTTGTATTCAATAACTATATTGTTACCTGTTCAACTCCACCCCTATTTTGGAGCAAAACCGCCTAAAATGACATACCCAAATTAAAATGGCTGTAGCTTCTGAACCACTCTAACGATATGCATCAAAAGTGTCCTGTAGGTCATACAGAAACAGAGCAGTGGGCCTTTGGAGTCAGTAAAAATTTAAGATTTTGTCTGCATAAAATAAAAAAGTATCTTTCAGTATAAATAACTGCCTGTGGCTGTATCTGTACAGGTAAAGGACAGTATAGGGCTGTAACTACACTATCAGTGAACAACTGCCTCACATTTGAAGAAGATTGGACAAAGTACGACCATTCTACAGTGTTTCTTCCATGAAGAGATCCAGGCGGAGCTCTAAAAGGATATTTGGAGACCCAAATGGACACATGGTAACCAAATGATATTCTGACACACTAAAGGTGTTTCTCCCTTTATATTTTGATATTATATTATTTTCCTTTTATTTTTAGCCTGTGCAAATTGCAAAAACTATGTATATATCGTCGAAGACGTGGTGTGTGAGTAGCGGACTTGCTGTGCGTAATGGCTGCGACCGAGTGCACGATCGAGTATGCGGGTAGCTCAGTTACACAAGGTTATACGTTGGTTGACGGCTTATAGAAGAGGGAGATAAGGTTTGTACTATAAGGACTAGCGTTTTCTGAAGCCACTAGCTCCATGGTAACATCCACTAGCACATTGTCGGGTCTGTAATGTGTCTTTTTCCGTCGAAATGCTGCAAGATCCGACTTGCAGCGGTTATGGCGAATTTGGACAGTTTGTGTTTGGGCTCCTTTTGTGAAAAATCCATAAGAAATGAAAGAAAATCGATGATTTCTTTGCAAAGATGAGGATTTTGGGCATGCTGGGATACCAAACACAGCCATGTTTTGTGACGTAGATTGCGCAAGCAAGCAGTGTTGCCAACTTGGCGACTTTCTCGCTAAATCTGGCGACTTTCCAAACCCTCATGGCGACTTTTTTTGTCAAAAGCTACTAGCGACAAATCTAGCTACTTTTTCTGGTGTTGTTGGAGACTTTTCTGGTGTTTTGACTCTGACGTGAAAGCCCCTCGCGCAGCAGTCTCAGCTGCAGAAAGAGGAGACCCACACTCTCCGTGTCCAGACTGCAAATGAATCGCGCATGCGCAAAGCCGCCGCTGTTCCCGCCTCTCTCCTACAGCGCTAATTACTATTATGCAAATTAGGCGATGACGTCATTTAGTGACTTCTAACGACTTTTAGGACAGCCAACAGCTACTTTCCTTACTGAGGAGTTGGCAACACTGCAAGCAAGCCGTAGGAACGGAAGGGGAGGGGATCGAGGACGCCGGCGTCCTCGCGGAGTTGAACAGGCAAAACCCTTGTCAAATAAATGAGATGATACAATGTGATGATCACAAAGACATTTATTTATCATGTGTATGTAAACCTGCATACACAACAAGAAGCCCAACAGGCTTTCCCACGAGCGTTGGATGTTTCGTCGCTAGGTGTTGCTTTATTTTTGAAGGCTTCAGTGCTTCGTTTGGTAGCATTAGCCCACATTCCACACACTGAGCCCTCGGCTCTGCCTCGTTGCCTCCGTTCACAAAGCCGTACTTAAGAAAGTCAGGATTGTACTTGCGCACACATTTAGACTTGTCTTCATTTTTTCATTTTAAAAACTTATCCATAACTTTCGCTGCAGGCTAGCGGCTAGCTGAGTGTCTTCTTCTGCTTATTGGAGCTTGTTAAACAACTGACTGACGCATTACCGCTACCAGGTGGTGGGAAGCTATATTGTAACTGAGCGTCTCATGGATAACAGTAATAACTCTGGTGTCTTCAATTGATAACCTATGCGGTCCCGCGGCCCTCGTGGTCCACAGCTGCAAAACTTTGGGGCCCACGATTGGGCCGCGGCCCCATGGTTAAGAATCACTGCTTTAAAGCAGCAAAATGATTTATAGTTTTATTTGCATTAAAGTGGAAATAGGTGTAACAGTCCTGTTTTTGTTTTTATTACACTTCTAATTTTAAGCTATTAAAGTGTTAATACGTTAATAAGTTCATAAAACTATTATATTAATCGTGTTCACTTTAAACCAGAGTAAGATGCTTGGAAAGCAAGTGATTGAACATTGCAGATGTTGTTCTGCAATGTTCTTCTAAGTTGAAAAAGTGACACAGCAACTTTGCTGGAATCAACATGTGACCTGCAACATGTCATGTGACACACAAGCTGACTGAGCAATGAGCACAGCAGGCAGGTGAACCAACTACACTGCCAGAGCTAACGTCCCCTTCTCCCTGTCAAACAAACTCCGCTTCACAAATTGCAGATCAGACAGGAAAGTTATAATAAACGAGCAAACGAGTTGAAATCTTTAATCAGATCAATATGGTGGCTTAGCAATGTACTCCACTTTGTTTTAGTCAGGCTGCTCAGCTCTCTCTTCTCTCCACTCTGCTGTTGTGTTCTAGTCACATCAGCACACTCACAGCGCTTATGACCAACACCAGCTATCTGAAAGGTTTTTTCTGGTGTGCTTTTTTAACACTAAGTTTGAAATTCTAAAAGACACTTTTTGCAAATAACGAATGGTGATCTACTTGTTTTGTGTTGTTTGCTAAACACTAGTTGAAATACCACACTCAATTATCACTCTCCTGCACCCAGAATGCACCTGTGAAAACACTTGTAACCAATTAGATCACTTAGAAATCAGAACTTGAATAGTATTATCGGAATCAGGTTTGCTCTTCAGTGGGCAAAACAATGAAGCTATCATATTTAGTTTACAGTACAATACAGTAACTCTTTTCGTGTCATCTTCAGTTAGAATCATCGTGTCTGATACTGTTGTGATATGAGTATTGAGAATAAATGCATCGCATTTGTAAGATAAATGATGCAAGATATTTTGTATTATTTGTATGTTTTAGTTTTCTGTGTGTAGAGTTCGATGAAGAGGACCTTCATTTCAAGAATTCAAGGTTTGAGCAATTGCAAAGAAGAACTGTAATGTCAGCTACAAACACATGATTTCAGAATGGAATGGATGTAGAAAACCTCCCATAATGATTTTACATGCAATGGCCAAATAGTTTGTATAAACAGGCCCAAGTGGTGAGGTTCTTCTTGTTATTCCTCCTTGTACTATCTGGCCCCTCTCTGTCTCTCCTTCTGAAGTTGTTATTGGTTCTGACAGGTTTTTTACGACAGATATATCACCTTCAGAACGGGAGGTCTGACCTCAGCATGGAATAAGCTCACCTTTGATCTTCATCAAATCTATTTCAGCTGTACTGGATGCTGTTGTTTTTCTCTGATTTTGGCGCAGGTATTTTTTCAGCATTTGTTTTACAGCAGTTGAAATGCTCCCCAGTCCTTCAGTTACTTCACACAGTATGTTCACATCAAGGACCACGAAGGAAGTAAGTGTTGGGCTGCATTCAATACTCCTTTTATAATAGACCCTCAGTAGTTTAAAGCACACAGTAAATAGAGAATTGGGACTCAGCAATACATTTTCACAATGGGTACCCCAGAGCTAAATTGCACCATCTGCTACAGCAGTGGATTTCAAATGCACAGATTTGCCATGACAGGTGGAAATCACAAATCACTTTGCTTATTCGAATTGTATAGCTCAGTTCACTTCAACGATTCACATCGCTGACTATGTAGCTTATTCACTTGTTTCCTAATAACAGTATGTACAGCAGCAAGTGAAGCATCATCATTCACTTGGCGGCCACCTGCCTTCAGTTCAGATGTACATTCAGTGGGGGCTAGTCCATTGAATTAAACATTAGAAATCAGTGTAGTACAAAACTAGCCTATACAAGCGCTGTGTTGAGGGGAAGCTCTGGTGAAACATGAAAATAAGACTCCCCTCTTCCCAGCGCCCAAGAACAACACCAACAAGGATTTGCAGCCCTTCCTTTTTTTTAACTTGTAACTTCAGGGCGGGGCCACAACAATAAGTAAAAAGAAACTAAAGTTAAGCAACCTTACCTACTGACATAAGAAAACAAAAGACAAGTCACAGACCTGAGAAAAAAAAGGATCAAACAGAAATGCTAGCTGAACCTGGGCACTTATAACAATAGACAGATTAATTACGTTACAGAGCACATTGCTGGAAGTAGCGAGAAGAGAACAGGGACTGAGGAAAGGCGGCATTTTACAGGTTTTAACAATTGCTCAAGCAAGATTTTAAAAACAAGGCACATTTTTTAAGAGACTACACACAATTGCAAGAATGCAACAATTTAAAATGAAATAAAAAGGTTGTCACCGTATGGCACACAGGGTTCATACATATCTGATTCTGTTTGAAGCAGTAACACACTGCTGTGCTCAAAC